AGTAAGTATTTATTGTTTTTCTCATAGAGGGGGATGAAAAGTAGTATGTATCACTCGGGTATAAAGTTATTTATTCTCGGGCGACTTACATTGAATCCCTCGCTTCACTCACGATTCTACTTTAAAATCCCTCGCTACGCTCGGGATTTTACTCTAGAATCCCTCGTTCCGCTCATGATTCAAACTAATGCCCTCGCCCTAAATATATCACTTTATTCCCTTGTTATAAAAACTACTATTAGGGGTCGCTATGATTTAAGTTTTTTTATATAGGATTTATATGGAACAAATTTAAGGAGTTTTAATACTAATATCCAAAGCAAATGTTAAAAAAGTTGAATTTGGAAGCTACAGGATTTTTTTTCTGTGAAGGTCTATCGAACTGAGGAGATACTGCTTCTGCTGTTTGTTGTTGGAAATACTAGCCTTCAATTTAGTGATTAATATAAAATTAATATAGTTTCAGGTCCAGTTCAATCATTTACTACTGTATTTTGGGGAGATTACTCTTTATTTAAATGTACATCGCAATAGTAGGCCGTTTTGGGGAATTTTCAACCAAAATTTCAGCTATTTTGCAAAACTTACTGAGGCTTCCAAATACAACATTTTCAACACTTGTTTTGGTTAGAAAGCTACATAGTAATTATATTTATCTGTTTTTAATGTAAATATCGTAAAAATATATTAAATTTCTGAAAAATTGTCACATAGTAATTTGTGCCATACAAATTCCATATAAAAAAGCATCAAATTATAGCGACCTCTAACTGTTGCTATTGATCTGATTTTTGGTTCAGTTACTTTTTTTGTGTAATGGAACAAAAAAAGCCTTGTGGACAAGGTAAAAACAAACTTTTATTTTTTTCATAAAAATTTGGACCACCCTACCGCACAGGTTGTCACTTATGGTGGCTGTATGTGTATACTATCGCCAGCAAGTCCATCTACCCATTTAAAGGACGAACATAATAATAGTTTTTCATAAAAATACCTACTATGAAAATCCAGTATAAGTGGATCCCTTATATAGGTAGGTAGGTGGATATTATAAAGGCGATAGTATCTACGAACCGCAGTATCCCACGGTGCGTGCACGATCACCATTTGTGAACATAAAATAAAATAAATACCGCGCTTTTATATTGCGTATTGCGTGCGGAATTGAGTGTCACTTGTATTCTCATGGTAGACATGTAGGTTAACCTAAAAAAAACTCATTGAATCAGGGGCATCATAATATTTCTAACGGAAAATAAAACCTTTCTGTACACTCTGTACACGGCATTTTTTTGCGTCAAAATTCAATTTCTATAGTCAAACCAGCTACTAATTATTTCCTTTAAACACATAGTATTATTACCTAAATAAAAGAAAATATCAAGCTTAAACAAAACAGATTTTTAATTATTAGTACTTACTAATTAAAATTTTGTAAGTTTCCTTCGTTTGTTTTGTTAGGATCCTTGAAACATTCGAGGCACCTTTAGTCTTTATCATGCTAAAAATTTTCACCTCCAAAAGTTTGTTCAAACAATGCTTCATTCTCTCAGCAAAAATTGAAAACTGAAACAAAGTTTTCCACCGGGTGGGACCTCCACTTGGGCGGGTACCACACCTAAAGTTGTTACTGCACAATTTGCAGTTCGTTAACGCATGCATCTGTAGGTATAAGCATACAACATCTATCAGATTTAAACTAAAAATCGACGTTAAAATAACGCAACGCAATTTTCGGCGCTGTGCTGCTTCAATGTAAAAGAGACATCCGGAAAATGTGTGAAACGCGGGCGAAGAATTTCGACTGAAGTGAGAGTTATACAGGTTTAAAGTACATAATTAATAAAACAAAACACCTAAGTTATATTTTAAAAAATTATCGCCGTTTTTTATTAAAATAAGTTTTAAATAAGTGAAGTGGTAATCATAATGATAATGCTGGCAACACTATGGTAAACTCTCAGGTTGGCACCGCTAAAAGAGCTCGTATCCGAGCCAGAAACTCTTTAATTAAGGCTCCAGCAGACCAATGCTACGTCGCGTAGACGCAGACGCATGCAACTGTGTGAAGTGCGCATATACCCGTCATTTTCTGGACTTCTTATTTTAATTGCATTGCGTGCCTTATCCGGTATGCGGGAGCCTTAACAGCGCGGAGCAGACGGAGCGCAGCGCGGGTGCTTTCGTGCAGTGAATAGTATAGAGATGACAGTGCCCCAAGTCTGCTAAATGAAAATCGTTTCACTTGGATGTCGATGGCTTGTCAGTTGCATGGTTTTGGTCATTTCGTAGTCTGCTTGCAGTTTTTAATGGAAAATCACAGTGGCAATAGAATGACAGTTGTGTGTCGCTGGCATTACAATGGCTAAAAATTAGCAGACTTGGGGCCCAGGTGTTGCGATGCGTGCGTACGTCTGTCATCTGACGTCTCCATTCCATTACTGCACGCACGCACGCGTGCTACGTTCGGTCTGCGTTAGCTTTAAGGGCGTGCGCTGCTTCGCTGGGACTATCAATGCGAGGACCTGCATTGCTTGAATTAAGGGCATGCGCTGCTTATGCTTGCCGGTGTGGCAGGGTCTGCGTGCCTGCGTAGAAATACACGCTACGCGACGTGACGCGACACAAGGCGACGCGTCCTGTCTGCGGGAGCCTTTACTTTTTCTACCTACTCTACACATGCAACCTCATTAAAAAAACTCTTTAGATGCAAAAAAATATCCCTCGGTTGTCAAGTAATATGTTTGACAATTGATTTGTTTACTTTGAGCTTTGATAATTATTTTACTTATTTTGTGCGATTTTTATTGTTTACTACATATTTTATCGTTACCTGCAGACCAGGGGATCGTCAATAATAATTACATCAGTAGGTTTTTAGTAATTTATTGTGCTTTTTATCGAATAACATGATTTCATGTGTTTTTGCCTCTAAATCAGTACAATCCAGTATACAAAATGTGCGAATGAAGTCCTATTTGAATACAATTTAGGTATTCAATAAAATTCGATGCATAGATAAGTGTAAAATGTTCTAGGGCATTAAAATACACCTATTTAAAAAGAATGAAATACAATGTTTGTGTTTGTTTTGGTTTAATGACAGATATGAATGACAGTTTACTTTTTAACATTGATACTTCTGCCATAATTCATGAAGGTTTTATAGATACTATGCCGTCATCTAAGAAGGTTCCATATGATTTCGATGGCAATGCAACAAAAATGCATGTTCGTTTCATTTCATTTCATTTTTAGTACGACAATTTGTTTTTATTAAATATAAAAAATAGGAGGATTTTTAGATAAAATTAAATATATGCTTTAGTAACATATTAACTAAGCTTTAAAATGATATACTTTTTATATCAGTCGAAATTGATCTCCCGGTAAAAGACGTCACCTTTCTGCGTTTTATTATTTTTAGTTGATATGTATTTGACAGTTGTATGCATCAGACAGACGTATGCGTTAGCGCAGCGCTAAAATGGCGGAGCAACGGACTTCAAAATGTGATACCCGCCTTCTTGTTTTTGTTGGGACAGCGTTTTTAAACATTCTTTGAGTACCTCACCTTTCTATCAAAAATTCAGAGAACTAGGTACATCAATTATTAAAATGCTTCTCATTGAGAGTTTATCTACTTACGTTTTGTTTTAATTGAAGAGACATTTCTCAGAAATTTGAAAGATACAAATAAATAAAGACGCATATTAAAAATCTGTGTTGAATAATTTCTACCACTAAGTTTTAAATAAAACAACAATGCTTACTTTCCTTGTACAAATAAACACAATTTCGTTTTAGACGTGTGAAATATTATGTGCATTATTTCACACGCCAATCAAAACAAGTGTCTGTCGACACCAATAGCTTACAAACGATAATAATTTACCATCACTAGTTCGACTAGACGCTTGGCAAACGATCAGAAACTTTATAAAATATATTTTCAGCTTTTGAAATATCTGCGATGTTCCGTCTGCTCCCTAGGTGGTATAAAAATAGCTTGTTTTTTATTCGGTAATCTATACACCGTGTTCCGGAGGAAATGCATTAAACTGGATACTGGTTGGCATTGAACTGAAACAAACTTTCACTATGGGAACAAAGCCGCAAAAATTCACGATCAGCTAACTGACTTTGAATGGGAGGTCGAGATTTGTTATCACTTCAGTATCGGTCTCATAAAATGGTTCAGTATTATGCCCTAAACAACGTATCCAATTTAATGAATTTCTTTCGAAACACGGTGTTTACAGTGTGTGAGGAAGTATCAAACAAGCTACTTAAAAAAAGGTCAAGCAGTGTGCTTCTCTCGAATACTTCCCTGAAGAAGTATCCCCAAATTACCCTTTCAACGAACATAGCTAATATTTCCAAATGTGGGTAATATACCTTATTATTTTTCTGGATGCCCGCAGTCCTCAAGTCATTAAAAACGTGCAGGTACCTACCCCACTCATGTAGGAGGAAAATTAGTATAAAAATGTACCCAGTTATTTCGTAGGTACCAGCCTCATTAAATTTGTCAAATAACTGGAATAATAAAAATGCCATACCAACGTACTATTTACATTAAATTACCGTAATAAAATGAAATACTGGGTGACCCAAATGTAAATTAATTAATCCACTGATTGTGAATTCATTTTGTCAAGCTACATAGGTACCTATGGCAAGTAGGTAGCCCAAAACCACAACAGCCGCAACAGTCCACTGCTGAACATAGGTCCTATTGGGGTATTGCCGTACTCACCACGCATGTCAGTTGGATTGGCGAGCGCAGTGCAAGCTTTTACTTAAATATCTCCAAGCAGTCCGTGAAACGAGAAAGGCACCTTTCCATCTCTCTCGTGTGCCACACTGAGGTTGAACCCTTCTGACAGGATTTTACAAGGCATACCAGTCGTCAGTTCTAAATACTTTCTACAAATGTCGCTGGATCGTTGCTTCAAAACGAGCATCAATAGGTTGAAAGATTCACCAGGGTCCGCTAGGCACCCGTTGCTCAGTTGGTATAGCGGTGGAACGGCAATCCACAGTCCCGGGTTCAAGTCCCGGCGGTCGCTAGTGAATTTTTCAATTTTCTCATTATTTAATTTATGAGAATAATATTGCGCTGTGAGTGCATTACAAATTCCAATACAAAGGTATACCAGCGTGTATCTACTTGCTCGTTTCTCTGACCGCCGCAATTTTCCAGCTGCTTTGCTCACAGATTGCCTGTTTAGCCTAATTCAGTCTTTCGCTATCAGCGCGGTTGTATCAGTTGTATAACTTGGGCTGCGAAATAAATTGTTTGTAGATGAATGAATTATCCCCATGTATTTTTCAGAATTTTAGTATATACTGACTGAACAGCTAGTAATCAAACTAATTGTATTTCAAAGAAAGCTGAAAATATCAGGACAGTTGCTAATAGGTAAATCTGATGTCCGCTGTGATATCTCCAAATGTTAGTTTAAATTTGTAAAATGAGTTTTTGTGGTTTTTTCTCCTTATGAACGAAAGTTTTCCATGATTCTTGTTACAAAAAATTGTAATGCTGGCAGGCAATAATATGGTTATAACATAACCTTCCTTCTGAGGCAGTCGGGTAAAAACGAAACGTATTTTTTCAAACTTTATTATACTTTGTTAATAATGTTGACAGAGCTAATTAAATTTACCGATCATTTTGTCAAAGGGGATTTCTAGACGAGACGATGAAAGAAAGTCTCTTATGAAATAATTAGAAGTCCTGGATTTTGGATATGTTATTTAGTACATAGTTGTGAGGTATATTTCAAAAATGTAGAAAATTTGGACCGTGGGTTTTGTAGAAATTTAGGTATTTGTGTTTTACGTAAAAAGATAGCTAAATATTGAATTAAAATTGAAAAAAAATAGGGCATTTTGTTAAATATATTATTTTCTGAATTTTGATACGTAGGTAGAAATGATAATTTTCTTGGAACATGCCTAATTTAAAAAATTATTACAATTCTTCCAATATAAATTTAAAAGTCATCATATTGATAGCAACGTCTGTAAAACTTCTACTGAACATGGTCCCAAAAGTGTAGAAAAATTAAGTTATGGATATCATAAATAACGTGTTTTTTATATAAATTCGTGCCTTCTATAGAATTAAACATTGTAAACATCAGGTAATCATCACCAAAACTATCAGAATAATCATTACCCAAAAGTGTAGAAACGTAACTACTTGGGAAGTTAGATTTCTTTCGTCCGAGCACTAGCGCTTGGCAACAAGGCAGAAATACCTACAATCCGGCGCGGCGGCGGCGGCGGCGCAGCGCGCGGCGGTGGTGGTGTTTCGTTTAGTTTAGCGCGTGTCGCGCGCTGCAGTAATAGGTAGGTACATACATACATATTATTTTAATTTTTGGAATACTTATATTCAAAAACTTTTATTTATTTCTTCACAGTTTAATTTAGAAACCGTTAGGAAAATACTGGCAAATAATGTTGTAGTGACAACTACAACATTATTAAATAAATTTTTATTATTTTAATCTTAAATTAGTCGCAGTAGGTGAAGGTTGGTTGTAGGAAAATACTGGCAAATAATGTTGTAGTGACAAAGATTAAAATAATAAAAATTTATTTCTACTTTGCAATTATACGGGGTGTTAAGGACGGTGTAACGAAAACTTAGCAGGCGTGCTCAGACCATGAAACTGAACAACTTTTACTATGGAGCCAATGGTGGGAAACGAAAAATATTTCCCGACCTCCCATACAAAGTCAGTCAGCTGATCGTGAATTTTGTATGGGAGATCGAAAAAATATTTTTTTTTGTTTCCTATCATTGGATCCATAGTAAAAGTTGTTCAGTTTGATGGTCTAATCATGCCTGCAAAGTTTTCGGTACACCGTCCCTAACACTCTGTATACAACGTGTTACAAAACAACCCATAAAACTCCCATACAAATGGAGTTCATTCTGTATGGGATAATGGGAGGACCACACTTTTTTCATATTTCGACCCATGTTCCACAGGAAAAGTTGTTCAGTTTTACGAGAACCTTGACCTCCTTTCAGCTTTATTGGTTGTTTTGTAACACCCAGTATATATTTTAAAATAAACCGTTTACGGTAAATATTGATTCAGTGTGAAATTAGAACTAACGTTGATCCACCTTTTTGATTTGTATGTATAGTCAGTTCCGCGCTGATATGCTTTGTTGGATCCGGCCTTGTTGCGCGTGTGACGTCAGTGGATCTGCACTTACAACATCAGCGATTTGACCGATATTGGTTTATACATTTACGGTCAAAAAATTCATACTGAAAATATTTTTTTATACCTAGAGTATATTTTATCTAATTGATATGCCACATTTACTTATACTAAGTAGATCCGAAGCCAAACTTAACGAATAGGTAGGTACTCGAGCACAAAGCGGCAACGTTGCGTTCTTCGTGTGACAAAGAAAAGAACACAGCAAGCTGTTTCGTTAGAGTAACAAGGTAAGAAAGATAGCTTTTACGGACCAAACATCCGCAACATCCTCCCCTTGCGAAGTCTCTGGAGCATCCTGGACCGTTAGGACTGCGAGCTTGTGTACTGGCCGCTGGAAGACGTCTCCCTTGGTGCGGATGTCCAAGCAGCGTACTTTGCCTTCTGGTCCCGGGTGGGTGCGGATGACTTCCCCTAGTGGCCGGTCATACGTTGCGGGGCAGGTTTGCGTCGACCACAACGTCTAGGTCTTCTTCCTTGACGTTGCGGGAGCTGTCGTGACTGCCACCTCTTGAAAATAAATAAATAAATGGGTAGTCTCTTGAAGACCCGATGAGAAAGTGGTTTGGTGACAGTGCCTCCGGCTCATCCTTGGAGACTGGAACGTGGGTGAACGGACTTCCGTTGATAGTGTGCTTAGTCTCGCAGAGCACAGTGGTAAGGATTAAGTCTCGCGGGTATTTGTGAGCCTCGTCTGAGGTGTTTTCAAGCTCCTTCCTGGTTCGAAGATCCCAGTTCGATACACTTCCATTCTGTCCTATTGATGAGTAGTAGATGCGTAGTCCTTAAGCGCTGGCAACCATTGTGAGTAGGCAGCTGGTAGCTCGGCGTCTGCTCCCTTGAAGTTGATGGTGTTTTCTGATCATATCGTGTGCGGCCATCCTCCTCTCGAAGCCATGGGCCTGAGAGCCAATATCACTGATGAGGTAGACAGCGAGCAGGCTAGCATGATGTGAACGGCGCGTGTGGGGAGGCAGGTAAAGATACCAACTGCTTCTTGTGTCTTCAGCTCATAGTGACTATTAGGGTGTCGAAGAAGTCTCCGCCTGTGTCGATAAAGGCACGCGTGAAGGGCTGGAGTCTTACCATCGTTAAGTTGCCAAGTGGTGAAACGACGTGTGCAGCTTTTCGGACTCCGCAGTGCCCGGATTCTCTGGCTGCTGCTCGGTCGGTCAGTGATCCAGTAGCGCTTTCTCAGCTCGTTGAGTATGCGTTCGTTGTTGGCGTGGTTGTTGTGAAGGGATGTCTTCCGTCCAAGATGGGCCTCTTTGTGTCTTCACTGATGATGGGGGCTGCGTTGATTCTCCATTGCAGCTGCAGGATGCCCTCTATGTCTATTGTCAATTTACGTGAATTGCTGATGGTGCCTAATCTCTTCAGCTAGTCCAGGTCGTCTGAGTAAGTGTCTTCTTGGGGTTTCTTGATCTACAGCTTCTCTGCTTCTCGTTTATGCCGCACCTTCAGTTTTCAGGTTCTCTTGCGGCAGGCGTTGATGTATAGGAGCACGTATGCAGCGCTTGTATCAAGTGCTCGTATTTGGAGAAGCGCATGATGTCTGGCAGGGCGTTTGTGTATTAGCCCTCACGTGCAGAACGTAGTCCTCTTCTGGTAGCGCGTCTTGTTTTGGAGTTTTTTTAGGCCAGTGCTCTTCGCTCAGTCTTAGGAAACTGTGTACGGTGAACCATCAGCTGCGTCCTTCCTCTCACGTCTTGGCCGGGTCGCCTCGTCCACTACGTTCTGGTCCGGCGGGATCCATTGCCAGTCACACGTGTTAGTGATCTCGGCGACAAAAGGCGTGTGACTCGCGTTGTTGTTGCGAATCCAGTGCAGAATTGTTGCTCCATCCGTAGGATGCTTTGGGCGCGGAAGGGCGCCACTCGCGCCTTGGCTACCACGACTACTTCCACGATGAAGTCTTCCTCTACAAGGCGCCAGTAGACCGCTGCTGTGATAGCCTTGGAGCTGCCGTCGCAGAACACATCGAGCTGTCTGTCTTTGACGGTTCCCCCCGTGTCCTCGCCGTCCGCCGTCGCCCGTGGTCAAAGTCTAAACATTTATTTCTTGGTAGGAATTTACAAGATTCTCTTAAAAATTCTCTTTAAGAAAGTCACATTCCAATTCAATCTTAAAAAAGATAATTTGAAATGCAGTATTTTCTCTTTTCTATAACAATTTGTGTTCCTCCTCGCAACCCGGGGCGTTCCCTTCATCGTGGCCGTATCCGTTGCCTTTTGCTGTTGCTGTTTGCCGTCGCCCTTTGCACCTCGCGCCAGTAAAATGTTTACAACCTGTATGCAGATTTCAAACTAATACGAGCGCTTTCTCCCGAATTTGTTGGAAGTTCCACCTTTTGCTTTTGTCTTCCTCGGGGACCGCCGGCGAGTCAGACCCAATTAACGACTTCCAGTCAGGCGGTAGTGATGTTGTCCGGGGAAGGCCGGCGAGCTTGACCCGAAAGAATTGGGCTTTGCTCGGCCGGCGATTGTTATATCAGGTAGTACAAATCTGGTAGTGGCCGCCGGAGAGTACAAAGCCATCAAACTGGCGGCGGAAGTCTAGTCCATTAAGAGTCAAATCCATGCTCTGATTGGCTCATTCAAATTGGATCAACGATTTCCGTAACTAACGCAGGATGTATTCGTATATCGATCGGATCAACATTTTCGAACACTTTATTGTAGTCCCTTGAGTGCAGATGTTGATCCAGTCGTTTCTTTAAATACTGGTACCGGGAAGATCGAATCTGAAATGAAACCTGATGAGCTGATGAATGAAACTTCAAATGAATACGTCCCGGGTCGTTCATCGATTCGGTGCTCACA